AAGTGTTCTGCCAGAATTTCCGCTTTTGCGTAAACTTAACCACATCCGTGGTCTCGTAGATGTGAGCTCCTCCCCGCTTCTGCATCTTCTAGCGCTTCTGCGGATAGGAGGTCTGCTTCAACGGCCTCACTTTTCTGGTCGCTTCTCCGCTTCTGCGACACTAGCTGTCCTTCCTTCACTCCGCATCTGCGGAGCCTCGCTCGCACCTGCGGGCTCGCAGATGCGGAAGCCTTCACGCACCTGCGACACAACCCCGGGCCAAGCCCCAAATTCTATTCTGAGCCTTTCCAGACTGTAGAAAAATCCCAGCTTTGCTCTAATTTCGATTTCAATCCGCTAACCATCCGAAACTCACCCGAGGCCCCTGGGAGATCGACCAAATATACCAACCAGTCCTAAAGCATCATACGAACTTAGTCGAGCCTTTAGATCACATCAAACAATGCTAAAAATACGAATTGCACATCGATTCAAGTCTAATGAACTTTAAATCCTCGTACTCCTACATCCGACACCGAAACCTATCAAATCAAGTCTGATTGACCTCAAATTCTGCACACAAGTCAAAATTGACATTACGGACCTACTGCAACTTCTGGAATTGAAATCCGACCCTGATATCAAAAAGTCCACTCCCGATCAAACTTCCCAAAAATCACCCAATTCTCCTACCTCCACCAATTGACGCTAAAATGACCTACGGACCTCCAATTCAACATTCGAACACGATCCTAAGACCAAAATCACACTACAGAGCTATTGAAACCATCAAAATTCTGTTCTGGAGTCGTCTTCACACAATTCGAACTACAGTAAATTCCTAGAACTTAAACTCCCAACTTAGGGACTACGTGTCCCATTTCTCTCCAAAACCAAAAACAAATCGCCCCGCAAGTCACGTAACCACAAAATGAAATAGAGGGAGAAATAAATAGGGGTTCGGGGCTAGTACTCTCAAAATGACTAGTGGGTTCGTTACATCCTCCCCCTCTTAAAACAAACATTCGTCCTCGAATGAGTATAGAGACATACCTGGAATGGTGAAAAGATGAGGATATAGGCTACGCATATCATGCTCAGTCTCCCAAGTCACCTCCTCGACCGGATGACCCCACCAGTGAACCTTCACAGAAGCGAGGTTCTTTAACCTCAACTTTCAAACCTGCCTGTCCAAAATGGCCACCGGCTCCTCAACATAGGATAGATCCTTTTCCAACTGGACTGAGCTGAAGTCTAACACATGAGACGGATCGTGGTGATACTTCCGGAGCATGGAAACATGGAATGCTGGATAAACTGTAGAGAAACTAGGTGTCAATGCAAGTCTGTAAGCCACCTCCCCAACCCTCTCAAGAATCCTAAAAGGCCTGATAAACCTAGGGCTCAACTTGCCCTTTCTTCCGAACCTCATAACACCCTTCATGGGCGAAACTCAGAGAAAGACCCGCTCCACAAAAATGAATGCAATGTCGCGAGCCTTCCGATCCGCATAACTCTTCTGTCTGGACTGGGTTGTACGAAGTCGATCCTGAATCAATTTAACCTTTTCCAAAGCATCCTGAACCAAGTCTGTACCCAAGAGCCTAGCCTCGCCCGGCTCGAACTATTCCACTGGAAACAGACACCGTCTACCATACAAAGACCCATACGACACCATCTAAATGCTCGACTGATAACTATTATTGTAGGCAAACTCCACAAGTGGCAAGAGTTGATCCCAAGCACCTCCAAAATCCATCACACACGCACAAAGCATATCCTCCAATATCTAAATAATGTGCTCGGACTGCCCATCTGTCTGAGGGTGAAATGATGTACTCAATTCCACACGAGTACCCAACTGCCGCTATACGGCTCTCTAGAACCGTGATGTAAACTGCGTACCCCCGTCAGAGATGATAGATAGCGGTACGCCATGAAGCCTAACAATTTCGCGAATGTAAACCTGAGCCAGCTGCTATGAAGTATAAGTAGTAACCACAGGAATAAAATGAGCTAACTTGGTCAATGTATCCATAATCACCCAAACCCGGATTGCCTAAAATTTTGTCGGCCAATCAAAATTTACCTAAGGAACAATAGTCACTGCCTCGCCATGACCGTTACTTATTTTTTCGCGTGTAAGGGCCATAAAACTGGAACTCCGCCAGATTTCTTGATTTCTGTATGCTATAGCCACGCCTTCTGCATGGGCCCGAACCACTAGGCCCGCATCGTCTAAAATTTTGCATGACCATCAAAAACGACCTAAGGAACAATAGTCACCGCCTCGCCATGACTCTTTTTTGGCATTTTAGGGCCATAAAACTGGAATTCCATCCTATTTTCAGATTTTTGTGTGTTATGGCCCACGCCTTCTGCATCGGTCGAGGCCATCGGACCTAGATCGCCTAAAATTTTGTCGGCACATCAAAATCGGCCTAAGGAACAATGTTCACTGGCTCGCCATGACCGTTACTCATTTTTGGTATTTTAGGGCCATAAAACGGGAATTCCCCTTGATTCCCAAATTTTCATGTGTTATAGCCCATGCCTTCTACTTCAGCACGAGCCACCAAACCCAGGTCCCCTAAAATTTTGCCGGCCCATCAAAAACGACCTAAGGAACACTAGTCATCGCCTCGCCATGACCGATACTCTTTTATTTACTTCTTAGGGCCATAAAATCGTAATTCAGCATGATTTTTAAATTTTTGTGTGTTATAGTCCACGTTATCGTCATGAATTCGGGAGACCAATTTTGAATCGCCTAAAATTTTGTGAGACCATAAAAAAATGACCTAATGAAAAATAGGCATCGCTTCGTTGTGACCATTCCTCATTTTTTGGTATTTTAGGGTTATAAAACATGAATTCAACACGATTTCCAAATATACGTGTGTTATAGTCCAAATGTGCGACCGGCTCCGAATCACCTAAAATTTTGTGGGACCATAAAATGACCTAATGAAAAATAGGCATCACTTCTCCATGACCATTCTTCGTTTTTTGGCGTTTTAAAATATAAAACAAGAATTTAGCACGATTTTCAAATTTACGTATGCTATAGTCCACGCTATCTGCATGAATTCGGGCGAACAAATCAAAATTCCCTAAAATTTTGTGGGACCATAAAAATAAACTAATGAACAATAGGCATCACTTCTCTGTGATCGTTCTTCATTTCCGTATGATATAGTCCACGCCAACAACGACAACAACAACCCAGTAATATCCCACACCATATGCATGAATTCGGGTAACCGACTCCGAATCACCTAAAATTTTGCGTGGACATAAAAAATAACTTAATGAACAATAGGCATCGATTCTCCATAATCGTTCCTTATATTTGGTATTTTAATGTCATAAAACAGGAATTCAATACGATTTTCAAATTTTTGTGTGATATAGTCCATGTCATCTGGATAAATTCGGGCGACCGGCTCCGAGTCGCCTAATTTCTTGGGAGGAGGGTGTGGAGATCAAGAATTAGGGTAGAAGGTTAGTAGGTAATTAAGTGTTTCCCTTTATGTTCCTCAGTTCGATAGCATTAGTGTTAGTTTGTAATCCCTTTATTCTTAGATTGCTATTATTACCGTTTTAATTGTTGCATTGGCTTCGGTCCTCTTTTTATCTTTATTGTTGTTTATACTCGCTGTCATTACTTCTTTTTATCTTTTCTTTAGCCGAGGGTCTTCCGAAAACAGTTTCTCTACCTTTTAGGGTAAGGGTAAGATTACGTACATCTCATCTTCCCAAATCCCACTTGTAGGAATTCACTGGCTTTTTATTGTTGTTGTTGATATTATTAATGTAGTATAATTTATGAATATCGATTAGAAAAAATAAACAGTAAATTCGATCGACTATTTGTATAAAGATTTCATTTTATATTTAGGGAATCTGAAAAAGGCTGAATAAAATAAAGAAAGTTCACGTGTTTACATATTTCAATAAACCTCATAATCTATAACGATATCTAGCATTATCCAATGAATTGGCTTTTACCAGTTTCGTCTTTATGTCCATTGTCCACAACCTCACTTTTTATTTTTAAGCAAATAGGCCACGGGCATGCTGCCTAGTAATTTTTATATTAATAATAATAACAGAAAAATTACAATGGAAGAGTACAAGCAATCTCATCACTAACCTCACTTTGATGTGATATTTCAGAAGAATTAATCTCATCTAATATCTTAAACAGAAAGTAGTCACTGATATATATATATATATATATGTAATTATGTATAATTAATATTTAATCTAGACATATCAATTAAAAAAATAAACATTAAATCTGGTCAGCTATTTGTGTAACAATCCTAATCAGATATACCAATAGATGTACTATTAGATTATATCCTTCTTCTTTTGTTCAAGATCTCTAGTGAGGAATTTCCAAAAACAAAAGTATTGTTTGCCATCAGTTCCTGTCTTCTTCTATAATGATGTATATACTGCATTCAACTTTAAGTCATTTCATGGATTCAGGTTATAGGTAAAGGACATATGAGCTTCACACTTCATACTATTGAATTCAGATGAGTCGGGATTTAAAGTTTATAGATTTTAAATTTATTATCAAATTCATAGCTCGTTTATGGATTTTGAATTTGTCATTACACTTATAACTGGTTTTAGTTACCCAGCTATTAAGAATGAGTGAAAGTTTTGTTTATACCAACAGATTGAATTGACATACAACAATTAGAACTCTTCCAAGCAAGTGATGCGACAACCAAAAACAAGAGTAATAACCTAATGTAATCAATTAAATTGCACGGATAGTGTAACGTTTCTTTACGGCGCCGTCGGTGCATATAAATGTAAATCCATTAAGAATACACCAACAACAGAAGATAATAATGGCATGAAATAGAAATCATTGGATTCACTATGACTATCATTTTACAATAGGTAGAGAAATTAAAACATACTCAGCAACAAGCATCTCTTGACATTAGTACAATTTACTCCCGCTAGAAAAAGATAAACGAAAAAGAATAGAGGCGGAATTAGAATTTGAAGTTTATGAGTTCAGAATTTATCATCAAATTCATAGCTCGTCTTGGTTATTGGATTTGCAACTAAATACATATTTAATGGATTTGCTAATATAAATACAGAATCTAGCAAAGCTACTACCCGTACGTTACACTCTAGCTCGGCCCCCGAAGAAAATTAAAAGTCCATCAAAACAATAGACATAGAAAATAAAGGGATTAGAAACGAAAACCAGTAAGTCCCAGAGTCATCCATCCATAAATAATCTATCCCAACGCAATCATTAATGGTTGATTTCACGTCAATCCGGGACTCAATCTGAACATGAGTTCACAAAACTCAACCTGATTAAGAGCTCCATCTCCATCCAAATCTCCTTCAGCCAACATGCAAACTAGCTCATCATCTCTCAATTCATGCAATCCCATTAATATAGTGTTTCTCTTCAAGCTTTCAAATGTTATAAGCCCTATGCTTACGTCCATCAGCAAGCAGAAACCATTGCATAGTTCCATCATAAACCTTTCTGCACCCAATGTTTCAATCATTGAGGGAAAGTAATCTTCAAAACCAAAAGGATCCTCATGATGTACAACAGCAGCCATGCATGAGAGAGCTGATTTCGCCTCGGTAATTTTACCTGTTGAGACATAATATAATGAAACAATCAAAAATCTTTTTCTATCAAATAGATTATACCTTTTAGATAAGTCGGTCGTGCCATTCAACATGGTACTAGAGTAGGCAGAGATTTAAAAAAAAAAAAAAAGACCATGGGCGTAACTCAACTCATAAGCTATCTTAGGAGCTGAGCATCCTAAGATTCCATCCCCATGGATATGGAATATCCAATACCCATCCAGCACACCCAACTGGAGCATGGACAACATAATATGGGGGTCCAAACATCAAGTAAATCAAGTATTGGGATGAGACTGCTCTAATACCAAGATAAAGAAATGGACGTTGGCTTAACTCAATATCAAAAGCTAGCTTAAGATGTAAGAATTGTTCAAAACCATATAAGGAGACTAAAGGACCCTATTTCCACAAAAATCTTCATTTTTTCTTAAACTCTGTGCTCAGTCAAACATGTTCACATAAATTGAAACGGAGGGAGCAATTAACCAATTAAAAATATATATATTTTCTCTAACAACTAAATTAAATAAATTAGTCACGGAAATTAACAATTCAACGTTACCTGAGAGAGCGAGCCGATGCAAAAGTATCCTTTAGGAGAAGCCTCAGAAAAGAAGAAAAGTGAAAGATAGTACTGTTAATTATTGATTGTTGGGGCTAACCTGAGGGAACGAGTACGAGAAGATTTAATTATATATATATATACCAACATAGAATTTTTTTGGAGCTCGTGAAATTATTGGCTTTACAGTTACAGGTTAATATTTCAATATGGCTTTATTTGGTGTGTCTACAATTGCTATTTCGTTGGTTATACTATAGTTCTCCTTCCTGGAAGTTGCATGTTATCATCTGAAAACTGTATACGTGGTGTCATAAACTGTATTCTATTTCAGATGATTAAGATGTTTGTGGACTCTTTGGTAAAGGTTATATTGCTTGTGACTGACTTATACAGCTAATTCTAGGGAAAATACAAGTTCATATATAATTTTAATAAGATTCACAAGAAAATATTTATACATATTTAATGATTCTTTTATATATGTATAAAATTCTAGCAAAAATTATTGAGTTCACGAATATACAAATATTACATTGTAATTCCGCCCCTAACTATTGTCCTTGCAATAGTCCAACGCTAAATTTAGATCAACTATTTATTTTATTTTTCTGAATGGAGAATGTCCTAGGTAGGGAAATGTACGAGGTAGGATAAGTAAAAGAGAAAGATTGTGTGAAAATGAAACCTTATAGTACAGTTGCATTAATTGCACTCATAGCTTAGCCTCAGGAGGTAGGTAAAAAGTTAATTACAAACATGTTTATTTCAATTTAATAGATACGCGATATGCTATATGTATTTGTACGTAAACTTCTTTTATTGATAAGGTTAAATGTAGACAACCGGTACAAATAAGTATTTATCGTCGTTAGAACGTAATTAATGAAACTATAAGAGGGGAGTGAATTGTAGACTATTAAAACTTAGTTGACTAAGATTTAGTTTAGTCGACTAGTTTTCGTACAGTACACAGTTTAGATAGAAATGAATGCAATGAATTGAAGGCAAAATAAGACACAACAGTTTTATACTGGTTCAGTACCGGTGTGGTACTTACGTCCAGTTTCCCTTAGGTCACAAGGGTTCTGTTAGATCTTGATAAAGAATTACAATAGTGATGATTTTGGCTCATTTACCACCAACGATGTTTAGCAATAATGATTTCTGGATGTTGACACAACTCTCTTTTGTGTTCTAACTCTTTCTATCTTTTATGACACTTGTAGACTCAAGAATACAATATTTGTATTAAGAACTAGAGAGACTTAGAAGACAGTGTTTGTAGTTGCGCACTTCACTCCTTGAGTTTGCCAGTGTTCTTATAGGCAAGTATTGTTGTGTGTTTGTGTTTGATTCCAGCAAGGTGTCTCTGATTCTTTCAGGGGAGATGGGTGTTGGATTCGAGTAGGGTGTCTCTGATTCCTTCAAGAGAGATGGGCTAGAATATTTTAAACCATGGAGTGCTATGTTCCATGCCGAGATGCTTCATGTTTTCTTGAAGACATAGCGCGTTTCAAATGAACTTCATTTGGTGGGGTGGATTAATTAATCCAAGGAGTGCTTCATGTTTTATTAAAGAAAGAAGCACCACTTCCAATTGTCTCCCACTATGATGTGTTTCCCACTCAAATTGTCTCCCATTCCTTTCGTCCTTTCTTCTTGATCTTCTTGGCTTGAATTTCTGCTGAATCTTCTATGATTTGGTTTCCTTTTTTATAGCTTCTTGTCCTAGCATCAGCTCCTTCTATTTTGCATCACACACTCTTTTTTGATCTCATTTCCTTCTGTTGTTGCCTTGATTTCTACAATCAAAGTAGATAGGATTTAGTTTTGCACAATTGTCATCATTAAAACTTAGATAGAACAATCTTCCCCTTTTTTATGATGACAATAAAGAGAGAGTAATCAAAGTATACTCCCTTTAGAGTTGTTGTACTCATTACTGCTCCCCCTGAGTTGTTGATTTACTTCTCCATAAATGTTCTCCCGCTTTGACATCAATCAAAAAAGGAAAATGCAAGCCCAGTATTTATAACAATATGCATTCAGATAATATGCACACTAGATAGGAAAATAATATACAGATAATATGCATTCAGAGTGATGGTTCATACATACCAATGTAAAAATAAGTTTTTAAAACAAAAACAAGCACAAAAGATTGTTTTTAACACACACAAACACGCCTTAATTTTTCCTGAGGAAGTACTTGAGGGTATTGATCACTTTGGTGCAAAAGGATTCATGGGAGGTTTCAACATCTTTGACGAGCTTGTCCATTATTTCTGTCATGGAGTTGAATGTCATGGTTCCTCGTCTCCGTATGGCTCCTATATCCATCCTAAGCTTGGCCACATCTGTACCTATTTCCTTGGTGACTTCTCTGATTTTGTTAACCTGCTCTTTCATCTCAACGAGCATGAGTCTTATACCATCTAGATATTGTTGAATCTGCTGAAGATTTTGAGAGGCAGTTGACTCAGACTCTGGTGGTTCAGTGGGAGCTTCAATCATCACTGGGACACTTTCAACTTTGGCGCACTTGACCCATCCATCATCACTTAAAGTGTAACCCATCATAGAAAAGGTTGTCTTATCATAGGTACTGGTAATATGCTTGGGTGTGAAAGGTGACAAGTCAACCTTCATAACTCCAAGAATATGTGAGATAAGTAGGCAATAGGGTAGACAAGTAGCAGAATACTCTCAAGCATGTATTGACAAATCCATACAAACCAATTGAGTCTTTTGTTGTTCACAAGACAGTAAAGAACAAAGATATCTCTGGTAGATAAGGTGCTAAGGGACCCAGCTCTAGGAAGTAGAGTGGTGGCTATCATGTGGGACAAAACCCGGTGTTCAAACTTTAGATTTTTTGGACTAATGTCGGGAGGGTTATCATACAGGAAGGCTTTTGCTTCTTCTAAGGAAACTTCAAAGTCTTTTGGTCAGGAATTTTGCACAAAAACCTCATACCCGTTAAACTTAGCAGAAAAAATCTTCTCAAATTGATAAGAGTTAAGAACAATTCGAGTGCCTAAAATCATGGATTCCAATTCATCTTTATCATTCACAAACAAATTTGCATAGAACATTCTCATAGGATCTTCATATACGGAGCTCTCAATAGTATCGAACATAGAGGAAAGACGTTGAAAATCAAAAACAGCAATCACATTACAGTGCAGATTTTTCATAAGAGAGAGACTTACAGTGCGTCCATAAGCCATAGATTTCGACTTATATGACTTAAACCATGATTTCTCACTTGGTCCATAGAAGATTAATTTATCCTCTGGCCCAAATTTTGTATTCTCCACTTTCTCTTTCTTGCATGCAGATTTTTTGGGGGTTTGCTCCATGGTCCTCTTTCCTGCCTTTTCTAGCTAATGGGAAGGTCCTCAGAAGATTTACTGCTTTCATTGTCGGTCTTGAGAAGGTCTGAGTCGATGGATGATTCCAAGTCTACAGTTTCTTCAGGGATGAGGGTTTTCTAAAACCTTCTGCTTCGTCTAGTGACAGTGGATGATGAGAGGTTTCTTTTCACCATGGTGAGGGTTTCTTTGGAGAGGATGAAGAGTGAGAGGGAGTAGGAGGATTCTTATCTAGACTTTGGAAGGCTAAAGGGTTGCATTGGTTAAAGAAAAGGACGGATTCAGAAGGAAGTGACTCTTCTGAGGAGATGTTTTGGTGGTACTGATGGAGGTGTAATAATTACACTTACATCAAGTAAAATTAACACTCATAAGAGGAAATTAAAGTGTTTTAAACATACACAAAAGATTTGTTTTATAAAACATACATGATGCAATCATTTTTCGTAGTAGACAAAATCTTTCTTCTAAAAGAGGTTTTGTAAAAATATCAGCAAGTTGAGATTCAGTACTAATGAATTATAATGCAATATCACCTTAAGAAACATGATCACGGATAAAAATGATGCTTGATTTATATATGCTTTGCTCTGGAGTGATGCACAGAATATTTTGTCAAACATATAGCAAGAGTATTATCACAAAATATGGAAGTCGAGGTAAGAGATAAATCATAGTCGAGAAGTTGATGCATGATCCAAAGAACTTGTGTACAACAACTTCCAATAGCTAAATATTCTGCTTCAGTTGTTGATAAGGCAACATAATTTTGTTTCTTGCTATGCCAGGAAACTAGTGCATTTCCCAACAGTTGGCATGTGCCACTAGTTCTTTTCTGTCGATCTTATCACCTGCAAAATCTGCATCTAAAAAACCTTTCAAGACAAAATTTTTAGAGTGAGCATACCATAATCCTAATTCAGAGGTCCCAATAAGATATCTTATAATGCGTTTAACATCAGTAAGATGGGATTCCTTTTGAGCCAACTGAAACCTTGCACATTTACACACACTAAACATTATATCTGGTCGACTAGCAGTGAGATATAATAAGGATCCAATCATTCCTCTATACAGAGTTTCATTAACATTTTTTCCATTGTTATCTTCATCAAGCATAGTTGTTGGACTCATTGGAGTCTCAATGGGCTTAGCATTCTCCATGTCAAACTTTTTTATAAGTTCTTTGATGTACTTGGTTTGACTGATAAAGATCCCTTTGAGAGACTGTTTGATTTATAGTCCAAGAAAGTAAGTTAGCTCTCCCATCATACTCATTTCGAATTCTCCTTTTATAGAATGAGCAAATTCTTCGCATAAAATAGAGTTAGGACTTCCAAAAATAATATCGTCAACATAAATTTGAGTAGAAGATTACCTGAATTTGAGTGCTTAATAAACAGAGTTGTATCGATATTACCTCGTTTGAAGCCTTGATTTAGAAGGAAGGAACTTAATCTTTCATATCAGGCTCGGGGAGCTTGCTTGAGTCTGTATAGAGCTTTAGTCAACTTATATACATAATCTGGGAGAGTATTATTTATAAAACCAGGAGGTTGCTTTACATAAACTTCTTCAGAGATGTATTCATTTAGAAAAGCACTTTTTACATCCATTTGAAATAGTTTGAATCCTTTATGAGCAGTAAAGGCAAGTAATATTCGAATAGATTCCAATCTTTCTACTGGTGCGAATGTTTCATCGTAGTCGATTCCCTCTTGCTGAGAATAACCCAAGCCGTGCTTTATTTCGCATCACTAGTCCGGATTCATTTAACTTATTTCTGTAAACCCATTTGGTTCCTATAATAGAAGCACTTGAGGGTTTTGGAACCAGTTTCCATACTTTATTTCTTTCAAATTGATCAAATTCATT